GAAGTAGTATAGAAATAGAGGAATGAAGTATGAAGTGGAATCGAGAAAGCATAGAATCAATCAATCTCTATTTTTTTTAGAGAATGATACCTCTTCAAAATGCTCAGTGGAAAGGGTCTTGAATGCTATGAAATTAATTTTCGATTTTCGGCTGATAGACTTGAAGAAGGAAAATTACACTCGAATTTGCTCATGGAAAATAACGAAAATGTAAAATGTTAAAAAATGAAAAGAATCTTAACCTTGTAGTCCACAACTTTGATAGATCGAGCGCGTTCATTACCACTAGGTTCGTCGTGGCTAAACATGTGTTGATCACGAGGCCACGGACTGCTTGCATGCAATGAAGGACACTAAAATGGAATATCAACCATAATCTTAATATAGTAAGCTCATCATTACACTGGATAGTTAATTTAAAGAATTACTAAGATAGGTGTAAAAAAATTTTGGAAATCATGAGCTAAGACCAAAAAATTAAAAACAAACCGCTTCGTTAGAATTGCAAGCCTCTGCATCAAGTTCTCCGGAAACAATCTTCAAACATCTTTTCAAAGTTCCAATCGTGGAATCTAAATCACAACGATCGCCTCGTTCAGCTCCAACAGCCATGATCACCGATATAACCTGAAATGTAAAGACTCTTGTGAATTTTTCCTAATCATATAATATCGCAAAGATGAACTCGTATAAAACCTTCGAATTATCCTGTTTTTTCTAATTCAACCTTTAGCATAGTTACAAGGTTAGTAAGACTCTTTGATGAAAAATCTCATTCTGGCACCCAAAAGTTTCAATTGACAACTATTTTGATTAACATTAACAAAAACCTTACCAAGAGAACATAATAATGTTAGCGAACTCCTTACGAAGTCGAAACGTTTGCAAGTGCTGACTTTACAAACGAACTCACATAAATGACGACTAGATCAAGAGAGCTTCTGCAACTACAGAAAGTACATACTACAGTAGAAAAAACTGGGTATTCTACAGGTGCTAAGGTAAATTCCTGATTTCCTTAGCGTTAAAGTTTAGTTTACAAAATTTTTAGAACAAGTAATGAATGAAGAAGTGTTGAATGAAGAATTCCACCAAAAAT